GCCCGAAGCGGTAGACCGGGCCACGCATCCGCAATCTCCTCGAGGGCAATCGAAACCAACTGAAGACAACACACACCCCAAAAAAAGAAGGGAAAAAAGAGGGGGAAAAAAGAAGGGGCTTCACGCGGAGGGGGGGTCGCCCACGTCACCGTCGCACCGCCTCCCATGGGAGTGACCGGAGGCAGTCCGCCGTCTGTGATGAATACAGGGATAGGTCGTCGAAGCACAAAATGGATGAATAAAAGGGTTTTTTTTTTATATTTGTTTATTCACAAAGGTAAAGTAGTTTACAGATCGTATTGATTTATGCGGAAATGTGAACAAAGATTAAGGATCATAATTTCCCTTTAGAAGTTTTGAAGCGGGGCGAATCACCACCGAGTGATGAAGTTGGAGGGGATCATTTTCTATCGATGTGCAAATTAGGTGGTGGAGTGATGCTTGAATCGTACTTTGTATGATTGCACCAACCCTATATCCAATGGGCTTAAGCAAACCGGGGGCGATTAGAAATCTTCTCCACAAAAATGGAGGCCTTAGTCGTTGAGCAGTACGCTGGTACACAGGGCAACCCCCTCAAAATAGTTTATTCGAATATAAAAAAAGGCGAGTAATCTTAGAAAGGATATTCGTTCGATACTCAATATATAATTCGACTTCACTTAGAAGGTGCTTTAGGGCTTTGGGTTCACTCAAAGCCTATCGTTAAGCCCCTTTTCGAATACGCAAAATACATTCAGGCTGTAGGACAATGATACCGCGCCTTGTTATTGCCCTTTGTCGTTCCGCCTTCCGTGTTTCTTCGACTGGAAGAACGACCATCATCAGATGCTTTTTTCCTTTTCTTTTTTTTTTTGATCGTTTAGGATCCAAACGTTAAGGTACAAACTCCAGAAGTTTGTAATCCTGCTGGTTCCGTTGAATGAACCCTCGCGAGATCAACTCCTCCACCCGCGTCTTGATGTCGTGGGTGGTGGGGACGAAGAGATTGGACAGTTCGTCGCCGACGTGCTCCTGGAGCTCCTGAAAACCGATAACCCGACGACGTTTGATGAATTTCATCATCACGGCATCCATTCGCAGCCCGCGGGAGCCCCCGGCGAGTGCCGCCGGCTCGTTCAGGCGGGCAACGCGAAGGCCCGCGATGTCCGCGGGCTCCCCGGCCGCGGAGGCCCCCTCCTCCGCCTCCGGCCCCGCGGGGAAGGCCGTCCGTGGGCGCGGGATGGGAAGGCGGAATCGGCGCGAATGATGGGCGAAGGCCGGATTCAGCACGAGGCGATCCGTCGGCGCGATGGCCGCGGCGGGGTCGCCCGGCTCGGGCGGCCGGCGCGTTAACAATGCGAA